GTGACATTGTCGCCACACATAAACCATCAGCAATCAAATGACGTACATAACGAACTAAAGCAAATCGAGACGGACGGAAAGTTAAACTTTGGCTCAAACTCCAACTCAATCTATTGGTAAGTTAGTTAGTGTATTGATGACTACATCTAATATGTTTCAACCGGCATCAGCAGCTCAATGTTCACTGAAAGGCAAATAAAAATATGAAAGCAGCAAAAAATTGTTTGAACTGCTCTATTCGATATGGTGGCATCATGCAGCACACGTCTACATGGCTACGTTGTCACTGCATTTCATGGCACATGCTAACGTTTGCCTTCTTGGATGCGTTCCTTTAGCCTCCACTGCTTCCACTGCCTCCACTACCTCCAACTACGCATCCGCAGACTGCTGTGCTGGAACTACGGCTACAGAGTTAACTTTTTCGTTAAACTTTGCACACGAATTACGTGTTGTGCATCTGAAATGCAACTACCACACATTTCAGTTTTTGGTTATATTTTTTTTCTGTTCCGAGACGCCAGCATAAAATTGCTTAAAAATCCATAAAACTATTGAAATATGTGTTATTCGGAAAATTGCTACATCACTCATTTTAAATTATGAGTTTATAGTTTGTTTAGACTAAATTGAGCATTTGCAGGCTGCGTCCATATTTTATCAAAAATGATTGGAGTTATTTAGTTAACTGATGCATTCACAACTTTCGAAGATGCTATACGAGTATGATGATGGAGTCATTACGGTTTGACGGTTTCAGGTCAAATAATAATAATAAACGATTTCAGTAAGAAAGGAAATATTTCACGATTTGTTAAAGAAAGAAATGGTTTTTATTAAAAACAGAATAACATTGTGAAAGCTATATAAAAGATGAAGGTATTTCACAATAGTCTCTTCTATATGGTGTGATATTCTTTAGTAAGAACCAAAGAATGATTGGTTGCGTTAATATTATGTTTCGTCTTCTCCGACCATCTTAGCTAAGTACTGAGTGTACAAAGTGAGTAAGTCAGTTGCAATGTGCTTGAATGAAATCAATATTAATCAAATACACAACAATTATTATGGTATAAAAAGTACGTTAATACTAGGTTAGGTTAGGTTATACCGGTGGTCCCTAGTGAATCCACTTAGGCCTATTATACCAAAATACTAAGTGCTAGAAAAAATGATAACGATGATGTGCATAAGTAGTTTTGAAAGTATAAAAGAGTTTAATAGGAAAGCAAAACATGATTACTTCTTAACATTTTATTTAGGACATATATTTTTTACTAACTTGATTTGTATCCAATTTAAGATTTTAATTTTTAGTAATTTAATTATTGTATTCTATAATATGCCTTGCTTGATCAACTTATAGTCACGTCGCACACCATAATAAGGGTTTGATCTTTCAAATCGCTAGTTGACATTTGAAGTTGCTTCACAATAAGTACTTTTTACTAATTATTCTTCTTACATTTTCTCAAAATTGTATGAAAATGAATACAAGTAATTAAAAAATAATTACCGGTGTTCTTATAATCCTTTTGTAGGGATGAGATCGTACTAGCAAATTGCAGCAGACGAAACCCGTGCTTAAATATGCGAGAACTATTGTGACGTGTGTTCAATACTGTAATCTGTTGAGTTAGTTGAAGTCATCTTTTGTACTTTATTCTATATATGTGGGCACTTAGATCGCAGTACTATATAACCACAGTAATATAATCTAAAACACGTAGTAGAGGTGCCTAAAAAAGTGTGTTGTGGCACCCCAAAATCCGATAATGGATTTTTCTTATTTCTGACTAGATTTTTTTTCTGAGTAGTGAATGGTTATTTCTTATCAAGTAGGTTGTATTAGATCAAATAGGTGAATACGATATGTCAATACAAATAATTCTTGTTTGATGAGCTGTAGCGGCATTGGGTATTAAAAGCATAAAGTTCCAGTGGCAAAAGATGTGAATTAGTTAAAATACGAAAGTATGATCTTTGTTAAATTAAAAGATTAGAAGAATTATTAAACTAAAGAAATGTTTCGTAGTATAAGTTACTTATACTAATCTACAAATTTATCAATTTATTTCACTACGAACTTTTCAAATACTTCTATTATATATCAAATACTTTTAGTATATCTATTTTGATGTACCTTTACACTATTGGAGTCGATATACTATTACAAATGGTGATATTCTGGTTTTAAGATTTATCTCTCTATTTTTATTGGAAAAGTTCTATTCATGCTTAAGAGTTGGACTGTAATTTCCCTATAACTAACATTTGTTTTCATTAATATTAAATATTTGATGGCTTTTAAACAATATTCACTACTTTAGTTACATTTCTTGAACCTCCGGAAATCGTAAGTTATTTGAAGTAGTAAAGCTAAAAAAATATTTATTTCCTTAACATTTTTTATTATTATTTTTATAAAGTATTTTTAAGAAGCAGAATATAATGGAATTTTTAACACGTCTGAGTGGTATTGCGGTAGTAAAAAATATTCCTGTACTTAAAGTCCTTTCAACCCACTTTGTTATTGAAACTGAAACTATTGTTGAATGTAACCGAGTTATTCTAAAATTCAACCATTTCAATCTTGTGCTCACCCCCAATTTAACAATTTTTCATTGTAATTTCAGAAATGTTATTGCAAAATTCTTGTGAAGTAATTTTTGTAGAATTTTGCTTGTTCCAAATGTTTATTGTAGTTTCTTTTGTTGTTTCTTTGGCTTTTCTAAGAAATTATTTAAATAAATACTGGAAATACTTCTCAGCATTTTGTATGCAGTTCCGTGCTTCAGGTACTCGTCCAAGTACCAACACTCGTACTGCAGCCCATTTGCTGCAATGCTGAGTGAACGATGACGATG